GTGCCCTGCACAAGCTGGGATGTGCTGCCAGCTCCAGGGCTGCGCCTGTGAGCCCAGAGCCATGGGAACGGGCAGAAATGCTGTGATTGCACGGGAGAATGGTGAAAGGGACAAAGAACATTCCCCGGCCCGCTAGGACCTCCAGCTGCAGGAAAAGCATCCCCCGGACCCGCGGGAAGGGAAGGCTGGGCCCGCAGCTCAGTGCGGCTTCTCCTCCTCCCGGAGAGATCGGGAGATGGGAAATGCACCGACATGAGCAACAGCAAGGCCAAAACCCTGCAGAACCCTCCCTTCCGCTGCTCCTGCACATGGGGAAATAAATAAAATACCCTGTCCGGCAGGAAGGGGCTGAGTAAACACGGCCCTGGAGGGCGAGCGGGGAAAGCAGGAGCAGGGCACAGCCCCAGGCATGCAGAGTGTGTTACCCCCACTGCCCATCGAATGGTTAAACAAAAAAACCTTGTTTAACTTTTTCGGGTCTATCAGGGAGGGCAGGAGGCCCTGGGGTCCCGGGATAAATGGCCTCAGCTCGGCCTTTGCTCAGGATGTCACTCTTGATAAGCACAGAGGCAGCCCAGGGTCAGGCTGGTCCTGCTGTCCAAAGCAGCCCTGCCCACCCCGTGGTTCTGGTCAGGGAGGGGACAGGATCCTGGACAGAAATGCCTGCAGTCCCAGCTGTCCCCAGCAGCTCTGGGTGGGTCAGGGATGAGGGGCTGCCCCTGAGGCCCCTCAGCAGAAAACAGGCCACAGTGTTTGTTGTGGAGTTGATTTAATTTATACAGCGACTGTCAGCAATGTGTTTCATCCAGGCAGCAGAACACAGCAGGACTCCTGTCAAAGCTTTGATTTGACCCTTCAGCCTTCAGACTCCTCTGTGAACGCCCAGCACATCCTCCATGCCCAGGGCATGCCCAGGTGCAGCACAAGGGTCCCTGTGCCCCACTGTGCACAGTCTGGCAGCACACATAACCTTCTCACCTAATTTTAAGCAGCCTGGCACCTTGAGACATTTCCTCCTTGATTCCAGGTTAATGAGTCTTGTTATTGTTCTAATCTGTTCTTACACAAATACCCAGCTCCACTGTGAGAATGGAACACGACAGTCACACACAGCACTGACACACCCACTGCTGCTACAGCTACATCGAGTTGAGGAGTGCAAGGAAATTCTGACAGCTCAGACAGGAAAGAAAGCAGCAGCTAATGCAGGGACACAGCACAGAGAGCCCCCTGCCATGGAGCTGTTCTGGCAAGATGGGGCCACTGCTCCCCCTCAAAGGGCTCCCCAGGGAGTGCACAGGACAATGTGAGTCACTGTACATCCACCTGAGCAAAGGCTGCCTCCAGCCATGCCAAGCACACACAGGCACAACCTGATGTGCCTCCAGGGCTTTGGGTTTCAAACCAGAAAGCCCAAGAAATGTCCCTGCCAGTGGCCAGTGACAGTCTGCACCAGGGCTCATCCTGCCCCAGGCCAGGCAGGCAGCTGAGCCCCAGTGCATGAGGGCTCCTCACCACTGCCTCCAGCAATGAGAGGGGATCAGCCTCACTCTTTGCTCCTTGGACCTTTTTTCCATGTGCTCTTTTGTCGCCTCTGCACAGCTGCCATTTCTTTTCTGCCCTGATCAGCTGCCAAGGAAAGCACAACACAGGGAGCACATGACTGCACACCAAACAGACACCTCATGCACTTGGTACCTTTGGGAGTAAACTGAAAGAACCAAAAGTTTCTGTGATCCAGTGTTCTTACCCCAGAACGTCAAAGCTTTTGGCTTTGGGATGCCATGGTAACGCTCAGGGGTGCTGCACAATAAATTATTGTCACTACACACACACAGGGAGGGGACAGCCACACCTTGGTGTTGGGGTCTCACACACACAACATTTAACACTGCTGGAGTGGGGGCCTCAGTCATCAAACCTCCCCTCACGGATGATGTCAAAGGAGAAAGGGAGAAACTTGAACCCAGTGCCAGTGTAGAACTTGTTCTGGAATTCAATCCTGCAAGAGACAGAACAGTGATTACTCATTACAAAGTCAGCTCTCAATAGGAACAATTAGGAGTAGGGAGTAATAATCCTACTCCATTAAAAGTAGGATTACTGACTAAAAAAGCTTTAAGGAGAAAAAGAGGTACTATAACATAATGTATCTTTTGGCACAACCCCCCATCTTTGTGTGGAACTT